CCTTTCCTTTCCTTTCCTTTTCTTTCTTTTCTTGTACAGGGGATCTAGGTCAGGGCCTTGAGCTTTCGAGGCAGTTGCGGCGTGCAGCGCCACTGAGCTAAATCCCTGGCCCCAGTGGTGTAGTTTCTGAAGCTACGCTTAAATGAGAAAAAGCCTTCTAAGCATTCACTCATTCATCAGGCACTGTTTCAAGACAGTTGTACTGGTTCATTCCATCCTTCTAGCAACCATATGAGGGATGGACTATTACTAGCCCCGTTTTACAGATCAGGAAATGGAAGCCTTGAAGTTACAAACTTTTCCAAGATCTCATGGCTCAAATGTGCCAGTTTGGGCTTTGAACCCAGGTATTCTAGCGGCAGAGCCTAGTTCTGAGTCAGGACACTGAAGTAACAATGATTCTCCAAGGATGAAGTTCACCCTTGGAGGCAAGGTAGGTCAGCCGGGCTCTTCGCTTTGCACCTAGCCATGTCTGACCTCCGGTCAGTGAACCAATAGTTGTTTAAACCAATCAGCATTCAGGAAAGGGGCGGGCTTAGGAGCCCGCACAGCCAATTGGTGGACTGGTGGTGCCACGGTCGTGAGGATGGGAGGGACAGCTGTAACCGGCACTGGGAAGGGAAGGCCTCGCGCCGCTGTTCAGAACGTGCAAGTCAGAGGACGTGGCAGGGGCATGCGCATACGTATGGTACGCATGCGTGTGGCGCGCCTGACTCCAGGAAGAGCGCTCAGCAGCTTCGAGGCGAGCGTCGTCGCGGAAAAGCAGCCCCTGCTCTCCATACCCACGTGGAGAAAGTGTGGGTGTGAGGTTCCTTGGGACTGAAGAGGGCTGGGTACCCTGTCTCCACCATTCCCTTCATTCAGCCCTGATGCCATACTTCAACTGCCCCGTGTCCTGATCTAAATCTCCTCTCATGACCAGTCCCTTGTCCTCAGTAGCACTCCTGTCTTCATTTCTGTCCTTCCAAGGTTTTCTTAGGCTCTCCAGGTTCCCTTGTTGCTCTTGCTCTACCATCACTCTTCACTTTCTGTATCTTCCTGTACTTTCTCTACTCCTGAATTTTTCCTCTATCAAAAATCCCATCCTGGTCCCCTAGATCACTCAAATCTCATGATCTGTTTGCCATCCTCCATCTTTTAGTATTTGCCCACATCCCTGTTTCTAGTTCTCTGGTTCAATCCCCAATATCACAAGCAGTTAAATAAATAATTTAAAAAATTGTGTTCCCATCTCGTCTCACTTTGCTACCTACCTGACTTATCTATATCTGATGACCACTGTTCTTTTTTCTTCCAGGACACCATGGACCCCCGGGGACCAAGCCGGCAGCCTTTCCAGCAGCCTGAGAAACCTGGCCGTGTGCGTCGTCGGAAGACCAGACGGGAGCGGAATGAAGCCCTGGTGGGCAGCCGTCGGCCACTGGCCCATCACGATCCTCCTGTGTCCAGTCAGGGTCCATCTGTTATCCACCGGGATCCTTTGGTTGCTGCTGCCTCCAAGCTTGTGGTTATAACTCAGGGCCGGCTGAGCCGGGAGCACCGGGGTCTTTTTAACCATGAGGTGAAATCCCAAAATGTGGCCCGGCTGCTTGACGGTGGGTCCCTGGAGCCCAAAACTCCCCTGCTCCCCACTAAGCCTTACTCCAGCCCAGCCAGGATTCAAGAGCCAGCCTCACAGGCAAGGGGCAAAGAGAACCAGGTGCCTGGGGGCTCAGGCCCAGGCCCACCAAATTTTCCAGAACTCCCTGGCTTGGGGCAACTTCTGGAGGAGCTACAGTGCCGGTTGATTTTGCCACAAGCCTTCCCCAGGAGGAACCTGGTGCAGGAGGCCAGAGATGCCATCGTGGGAACCTTACAGGCCCTCCATGGATGTGTGCCTGATCTTGCTGTGGTGCTCCAAGGCTGCCAGTCATCCTTACCAGGTGAGCCCACCTCCTGCCTCCTTTTTCCCCCTTTCCTATCTCTGCTGTAGCCCACCTATCCCCCATCCTTTTTTCCCATGTGCCAGAGACCAAACCTGAGGTTCCTGAGAGGCAAAGAATGACACCTTCCTGGATCAACAGGCCTGAACAGGTCCCAAGGGAAGGGAGGCAGAGGAGGCAACAGGGAACAAAGGACACCTTTACCGTGCCTCATATGTCCAGCACTCCCATTGCACACAGAATGAGCCTGGAGCCAGCAAGAGGTCCCTGGACACCTTCCTTGCCCTTGTTGTCTTCACCTTCTGGGACAGCCTGGGGCCCCCCAACAGCCTTTGACCTACTAAAAAGCATTTGGCTTGTAGGCACACCACCTCCTCCCCGTCACTGGTGTGTCGGTCCACCTCAACCCCTGCCTCAGCCATCACCTTTGTTGCCCCAAACTTCTGACCTGGACTGGAGCCCCAGCTCCCTTGCCCCACTTCCCAGTCTCTCCTGGGTAGTAGCTCAGAGCAGTCCAGAAGCCTGGTCCTTTCCACCCATGAGACTGTACTGAGGGAGCTGAGGCTAGGCCTGGGCAGGGTATTCTCATACCAGTCATCTCAATAAAGTACCTTCTTGTCCTCTTGGTTTTTAGTGAGTGGCTGACCCAGGAGAGCAACTTTTATTATCTCTGAGTTCTAGGACAAAAATGAAGGAGAAGGCACTGTTACATTTTACCTTTTGGGGCCTGAAGGGCCCAACAGGATGTTGAAACTTGGGGAAAAAAAGAAAGAAACTTGGGGTCTCAGTCCTAACACATACACCCACTTTGGCCTACTGGGTGCCTGACTCTGAGCTCTAGCCATGCAGGGGCCCAAAAGAAGTGAGCCCAGGGCCCCCATAAGACACCCAGCCCAGTGGGGGGAATCCTACCTCCAGAGGTTGCATCTGGGAGAGAGCTGCAGGGGCCGGGGAGTCCAAGGAACAAGATACAAATTCATAAAAGAGCTGACACAGGCCTTGTATTATTTATTTATTTGGCCTGGTATTTTTGAAGATTGGTAAAAACTTGATGGTGGGAAAGAACATTTACAGCAGAGGGAAGAATGTTTGCAAGGCCTGGAGGAGGGTAGAGGTGAAGGGGGTAAGGGGACATGACCATTTTTATTTAGCTCTTTTCCTTAGACCATGCTGAAACCTAGAATCAGTCATGTTTGGCCTGCCCTTCAGGAGCTTCTGGTCTGGGATCACAGAGAACGGTAAATTACGTGATCAGGGCAGAATCTGGCCCACAGACTTTCTCCCACCCAAAATATATTTTAAATGGTTTAATCAATTACCTATTTTTATATTTAAATAGTTTTGCACATAATACATTCTCCACTTTTTATTTATCCTTCCCTTTTGTTACCAAGGTCAATTGCCTATTGTTAAAAATCAGAATTTTGCTTTTTAAAAAAATTACATCTTGGGAATGTTTTGAGATAGGGTCTCAAGATGTAGTTAAGGCTGGCCTTGAACTCACTATAGAACGTGGTGGTGCACACCTATAATCCCAGTATGGGAGGCTGAGGCAGGAGGATCTCCACAAATTCTAGGCTAGCCTTGGCTACACAGTGACTTCCAGGCCAGCCTACACTACATAGCAAACCTTGTCTCAAAAAAACAAAATCAAATAGAACAAAAACAAAGCTCACTATGCAGTCCAGGCTGGCCTTGAACTTGTGGCAATCCTCCTGCCTCAGCCTCCCAAGTGCTGGGAATACAGGCATGTGCCAGCATGCCTGGCTACTCTTCATTTTTATTTTTCGGTCCTGGGGATCAAACTCAGGACCTTGTGCTTGAGAGACAGGTGTGTTGCCACTGTACTCATTTTTGAGACAGGGTCTTGCTAAGTTGCTAAATTGCTTCAGCTGGGCTTGAAATTTTGATCCTCTAGCCTCAGCCTCTTGAGTCTGGGGATTATAGGCAGTATACATTGACAGTTGGCTTCAAAATACCATTTTAAAGCCAGGAGGTGGCGCACACCTGTAATCACAGCAGTCTGGGAGACTGAGGCAGGAGGATCAGTTGAGTCCAGGAGTTTGAGGCCAGTCTGGGCAACATAATGAGTCCTTATTTCAAAGTAAATAGTTGGTTAAAAATAAAGCCCAGGGCCAGGGATTTAGCTCAGTGGTTCTGCTGCCTGCCTCGCAAGTGCAAGGTCTTGAGTTCAATCCCCGGTACCAAAATAAATCAATAAATATAATAAAATAAAAATAAAGCCCAGCATTGTGGCACACTGCTATAATAGCACTTAGAAGTCTGAGGCAGGAGGGTTACCAGCCTGGGCTACTTATTGAGTTCAAAGCCATCCTGGACTACGTAATGAGACTCTTTCAAAAGCCATGATAAATAAAAATGCCATTTTTTTGCCGGGGGGAACCAGGGCTGGAACTCAGGCCCTTATACTTGCCAGGCAGGCACAGTGCCATTGAGCTACATACCCGGCCCCCCCAAAATGCCATTTTGAACAGCTGCACATTTTATGCAATGGAAGAGGGATGAAACTAGGAATGTTGATAGGAGTCTTATCGGGAAACTCAAGCTGAGAGCTTTCCAGGGCTCCTGCTTGCCCACTGAGAAACCACAGGGTTGATTTGAACACGGACTGGACTAGGTCACTGGGCTGAATGAGTTGGTCTTAGGCTTATGGTGGGAAAATGGCAATGCTGAAATTTGAACCCAAGCAGCGTCAGTCCATGCTCCTGGATAGCTCACACCTCTGTCTCACAGCAACCCTGTTTCACACTCAGGTAAGAACATCAGGCAGCCGGGAATGATGGTTGTGGCAGAAAGCTCCGCCACCTCTTTGTTGTGTGACCCAGAACTACTGGCTTGTCCTCCATCTCTGCAGACACCTCACAAGAGTGCTTTGAATCTGTGACTCTGGCAACCCAGAGACAGACACAGCTGTGAGCAGCTGCTAAGGACAGCGCAACGGGTAATCAATACATAGTTTAGGGAGCTCAGTGCTTTTGTTGCCTGCCTCACAAACACAAGGTACGGAGTTCGATCCCTGATCCCAAACAAAACAAAACAAAAAACAAAAACAGAGTTCAGAGCTCAGGTCTGGAGGTTGTAAACTGTCCCGGGACAGCAGTCTAGAGAAGGCCTGGTTTGGGATAATGGGAGTTCAGTTGAGGACACCAGGAACCCAAGGTATCCACAAGACTCCAGGAGGAAAGGACTGGAGCTGGGGCGGGGTGACAAAGGATCGAAAGGTGCGTCTCCTCCCGAGTGGGGAAGGGTAGCGACCAGGTTGGGCCATCCGAGTGGAGAGGGCGGGGACCGCTGCGCCCAGCGGCCCCTT